GGTTAATATGGACTGTCAAATTTTAATTCTCATCATCTGATTGTTATTCCTGAAACCTGTCATGGACTAAAATGTTTTCTAAAATGGAAGAAGTATGGAACTAAAATGGCTGCAGTGGTCACATGACTACAAATTGAAGCAAACTTTGGGAATCCCACAGAATAAATAAATTCATCTACACAGAAATTACAATTTTTATCTGAAAACATCAAGATCAGGCAATGGGTTAGCATCAAGAAATTCATACCTCCTTTGCTAACTCACACATGTACATATTGAGAGACAAATGCTTCACTGCCAGTTGGCCAGCTTGGAAAGACAATGGAGCTGGACTCCTACACACACACTGAACTATATTTGAACAGTTGTTTTTGAACAGCAGAACAGAGAGAAGGAAAAATGAATTTGTGACGACAACAGCGGGAATTCTCTCTCCCTGCCAGTTCCTCTCATCATCTTGGAATACAGTGCCTGATGAAAAAACAAATTGTGAAAACAACATTCACTGACAACACAACCACATCCAACAGATTCAGTTCCTGCTGAGGATACAAGTCAACCATTAATCAACTATACTCACAGATAAAGAATTTAACTCCTCAAGGACTCTAAGGTCTGCTTAACTGCATAACCCTTATTTTCTCTGCCTGTATCAGGCACTCTCCCTTTTAAACTTATTACCTGTGTTTGTGTGCATTTGGTGTCACATTTCTATTATTTTTTTTCAAGGTTAGTCAGTGCCAAAATTCTTGATTCACTTAGGACAGTCTTGGCAATTTATCTTCTCTATTTTCTGAAGAGCTACATTTTGACTGAAGTATCATAGCTACGTAATAAAAAGAAATAAAGGTATTTGCTGTGACCAACCAAGACAGGGGTTAAAAAGAAGGGAGTTTATTCCCCCCTCACCTAGTTGTAACAGTCTTCCCCCTTCAATTTGGATGCATTCAAAATGTGCATTGCTCAAAATATTATCTTACTTCCTACATTTTCTTTATGCCTTACAAATTGAACTTTAGTGGTCAACACAAAGAATTTCTTTGCATTTCAAGAAAATGCGAAAGTCTAAAATATGGCAAAAGCATACAGGATAACCACTCATTTTTACCAGGACAGAAATTACTACTGATATAGCTTATTTTCCAATTGAAAGTGCCAGTAACATCTGCGTCTAATCTACTCTCTAAGCATACTATTAGTAGCTAAGGAGCTTTGATTTGTAGCCAACCTCTTTGTTGCTGCGTGTCTAACTTTCTGTCCACTCATCCCACATTTCTCAAGTCAGGGTGAGATTATGGCTATAGCCAAGACTACTGCAACTGCCAAAGATTTCAGATGATCCTCACAGTATTTGTCAAATAAGTCACGTATCTTCCAAAATTCACTCTCACTGTGCAGAAACTACTTGTCTTAAATCTGCATGTTTAAGACTCATATAAAGTTACCAGTTTCTCACTCAGGTCTTTGGTCCTTCTCTTTAGGCACACTAACACCGTGGTTCCAGTATGAATCCAGACCCAAGACCTGATCAAATCCCAAAGGAAATTCAAAAGTGTGATATTTTGACAGATGACCACTCCTGGTATCATGTGGTAATTTGATTTAATTTATTATTGTCACACGTACCTGGGTACAGCCAAAAGGTTTGTTTTGCATACAGCACAGGCAGATCATACCATACAAAGTGTATTAGAGTAATAGAACAGAATGAAGAATATAATGTTATGGTTGCAGAGAAGGTGCACAACGAGCGAGATCAATATTATATTTAAAATTTGAGAGGTCCATTCAGAAGTCCAATAACAGCAGGGAAGTAGCTGTTCATGAATCTGTTTGTACATGTGTTTAGGCTTCTGTATATTCTGCCTGACGGAACAGATTATAACCGGGTTTGGAGGGGCCTTTGATTATGTTGGCTGCCTTCCTGATGTCATAATATGCGGATTGTTTGAGGTAATTTGCTGCCGCGGAATCTCCCTTGTCCTGGACCTATCCAGTGATCAGGTGCATACCACAGTATCTACAGAACATTGTTCTTGGATAACAAGAAGATTTAAGGCAAGACAGCAATAAGTTCAAGCACATTTGGTTAATTATTAGAACCTTATCACGCTGGGATAGATATATCTCTTCCCATTTAAAGCAAGAATGTATCTCCTTGTCTCCACCCTCAATGTGACCTCAGTAAATGGGTAGAACCAATATAACATAAACATTTTTATCCTAGGCAACAGACTGAGACTTTTTGGAGTTTGTATTTCACTTTGCTTTGGAGCCAACATAGGTCGCAGCATCTCACATACACTCACGAGCTAGTAACAGAGACATGCTGAATAAGTGATAGTGATGAGTGTCAATGCATTCTCTGTCCTTTTATTCTCATTGATGCTTTTCTATTGATGACTGTCAGCCTTGAAATTGGACGTTGGAGATTGTCTTTACAAACATGTTTGACCACCTTATCTTCAATAACCACTCCACGACTTTAGGGCTCAAACTAGGGACTATTTAGTCTATGATTTTGAGTTGTTAAACCAGGGTGTTTTCTGCTTGTTTAGACAATCCTACGATGAAATTCAAAAAATTACAAAGCTCTCCTGGTGTCTGAGCCAAAATACACCACTCAGTCAACATCACTATGACACATGAATAGTTAACTGGTTTGTTAACCATATGATTTGTTATTGGTGGACATGCTGTGTGCAAAGTAGTTCATATTTTGAACAAAAATAACAATAAAACTAACTTCTATTTCTACACAGTGGGAGAATGACAAAGTAGGAAATCCAGGGATCAGGTCCTTGGTCCCTTGTGCAGCAAAATTCTCATTCATGTTTTCAACTCCCTGCATGCATCTCTTCCCTACCTGTATGACTTTATTTCTTTAAACTCCCTCCAAGATCTCTGTGTTTCTCCAATTCTGGCCTCATCAGCATTTTAGATTTATTGTATTTTACCTTTTACAGTGGTCACTGTACCTTCATCAACGTTAGCCTTCACTTTAAAAAGTGCCCTCTTTGACTAGTTTTGGTCATGTCAAAATATCTCCTTACATGGATCATTACTACATTATAGTTCATTATGTTGCTGTGAAGTTTTACCACATTAAAAACACAGTATAAAACAGGTTATTGTTGACAGTACTGTTACCTTGTTAGAATGGCCAACATTCACGGGAAATGCAAGGCTTAGCCAATGAGTGTGTAATTGAATGTAAACCCCAAATTGAAAGAAGTTGTTCAGATTGAGCTATGTACACAAGATGCTGCCTGGTCCTGTAGCTGCAAACCAAATTTCTGAGCACTTTTCCTTTTGTTGTGGCTCACCACCACCTTCTTAAGAGCAATTAGGGATAGTCAATAAGTGTGGGCCTTATCAGCGATAACTGCATCGAACAAAGTTTAAAAATCTTCTATTTGATATAGGTAACTCATTCTGTAATCATAGAGTCCTACTACACACAAAGGAACCCACCCATCATCACTGCACACCTCACTGTCCTCCCATTCCACCTGTTTTTGCCCCACAACCTTGTAACTTTTTATGCTTAAAATCTGAATCGAGACAGTGCTACGCCTGGTTGAGACAGTTTTGTGAGGTTGGAACATATTGCCGGATGCAACAAAAACAAAGCATACATTATGATAAGTCTTTTAGCCCAGAAGGTAACAATGACGTTCCCACTGAAAGCAACTGCATACTGTAAACCACATCAACTTTATATAATTTTCAAACTGGAAATGTTGGTGAATCTCCCAGTGGAAGCTGTCTTTCACTCGCAGGGTGAATTATAGAAAGCTCCAAAATTATTAATGGTCAAGTCAGTCCAGATAATACTCAAAAAATCAGTAGCATATCCCTAAGATGTGGAATTTTCAGTCAAGATCATTTCTTTAAAGAGCATTAAACAAAGATCATTTCTTTGTTTGATGCTAATAAGTCCATAAGACCATAAGACATAGGAGCAGAAATCAGACCATTCGGCCCATCAAGTCTGCTCTGCCATTCAATCATGGCTGCTAAGTTCCTCAACCCCATTCTCCTGCTTTCTCCCCATAACAATCAAGAACCTATCTATCTCAGTCTTAAATGTAATCAATGACCTGGTCTCCACAGCCTTCTGTGGCAGTGAATTCCATAGACTCACCACTCTCTGGCTGAAGAAGTTTCTCCTTATCTCTGTTCTAAAAGGTCTTCCCTTTACTCTAAGGCTGTGCCCTCAGGACCTAGACTCTCCTACCAATGGAAGCATCTTCCCAACATCCATTTTGTCCAGGCCATTCAGTATGCTGTAAGGTTCAATGAGATCCCCCTTCATCCTTCTAAACTCCAATGAGTATAGTCCTAGAGTCCTCAAACGTTCCTCATATGTTAAGCTTTCCATTCCTGGGACCGTTCTCGTGAACCTCCTCTGAACCTGCTCCAGGGCCAGTACATCCTCCCTGAGAAATGGGGCCCAAAACAGCCCACAATACTCCAAATGTGGCCAGACCAGAGCCTTATAAAGCCTCAGTAGTACATCCCTGTTTTTATATTCAAGTCCTTTTAAAATAAATGCCAACATTACATTTGCCTTCCTGACTACTGACTCAACCCGCAAGTTTACCTTGAGAGAATCCTGGACTAGAACTCCCAAGTCTCTTTGCACTTCAGACTTCTGAATTTTCTCCCCATGCTCCTTAAACCGTACCTTTCATCAAGCTTTTGGTCACCAATTTTCCTTATCCAACTGTGTCAAATTTGTATTTGAAAAGTCTGACAATAAAGGTGCTACATTAATGCAGGTCTGTCCCCAGGGATGAGGGGAGTTGAGGGGCAGAAGCTGTTGCTGTAGACAGTCGGTGATGAGCTTCACACTGGGGAGGAATTGGCGGGAAGGAGGGGGCGGGGTCAGGGAGGGGGCGGGGTCAGCGCCGGGTGTCGGTGGTGGCGGCGGCGGCGGTGGGCGTGGCCGGGGGGGGGGGGGGCTGGTCGTGGGGGGCGGGCCCGGAGCAGCGAGTTTGGCTGGGCTGCTCGGGTTTGGTTGAAGCGGCAGCGGGTTCGGATCGAGACCGAGAGGCGGAGCAGGAGCGGCTCCGGACTGAGGGATCTGCTTCGGGTTCTCTGAAGTTTTTAAATCTTTCCTTCGCTCTGCGGTTTGCTTTCATCTTTGATGGTGAAATGTCCGAGAAGGTGCACTCGACCACGGAACGGACAGTGAAATGTGAGTGAGACCGAGACCGAGAGGGGGAGGGGAGAGGAGAGGCAGATGGGGAGAGAGCCCGGGGAAGAGGGAGGGGTTGGGGGCAGGAGGTTGGGTGTGGGGGTGTGGGGGTGTGGAGGTTGGAGGAGAGCCCAAGGAGAGGGGGTGGGTGTGCGGAAGAGCCTGGGGAGAAGGGGTTGAGGAGCAGAGAACCCGGGGACAGGGGAAGAGAGCCCCTGGCGAGAGAGCAGGGAGAGAGCCCGCAGAGAGGGGCTGAGGGGAGAAGGGGTTGGGAGAAGGGGTTGATCCCGGGGACAGGGGGGAATGCAGGGGGAGAGGGGCTGAGGGGA